AATGCCATGAATAGGGAATCATTGGTTTCCTTTGTATGCAAATTTGGAAGTACTTGTAGTTGACGACTGGTTCATGACTTGTTCTCAAATTTTTGTATTACTAACAATCACATATATATTGTACAGGAGTTCACTTCTTTTAGTTTTAATTTTATGAACTTTTATACTAGTATTGATAAATAGGTGAAGATACATGTATGATTGTTGATGAAGACTGAATACAAATTGTTTGGAAATTCAATTTTTTGTGTGCATAAGGCATTTACCAGACATTTTATTGCAAACATGGCTGTAGGTGGATGCAGTGCACAGTTCATGGATGGATATAACGGTAATCAGTGATTGGACATTTCATTGTCTAATGTGCATGATTTTTGGGGTCAGTTTTCATTGTATTAACATAGAAATGAAATGTTCCATTCCCATTCCCACCCTAATCCTTGCACACCTGTTTACAAAATTGTCTCAAGTTAGACCTTTGTCAACCATGAGTTTTTGTTCTTATCTGACTCACTATACTGAGGTTATTATTAATTTGCTACAAAAAACTCTTTAAACAAGGTGTTATCTGTGCAGGATTGTATATTAAGCTGGGTCAAAAATGGAAGTCAGGTTTTCCCTGTGATCAGGGCCGTTTACTCTGTGGCGACTCTAGAAGCTTTTTCTGACAGACTTACTCTCTTCTTACATATTGAAAATGTCTAGTCTTTTTACTGGAGTCTTTTTTTAATCGAAGGAGATGAGTGCAAAACTAAAATTCTACCCATGTTGTGAATGTTGAAAATAATAATTGAATCACTAAGTACATGTAACCTGGACAAGTTATATTTTGGAGACTATTTTGAAGATGGCAAGAAAATGTGCTTTGTTGAAAATGTCTTCAATGAAATTCTTCTTTTCTTAATAAATTCTTTTTTCACATCGGCTACTTTATTTTACTGCACACATACAAAAAGCAAGAGAGCAAGTCCACCCTTCTACTAGTGTAACCCAGGTGTATAGTTAACAATACCAAAATACCGAGTGTCTTACCATGTTAGTTTATTCATGAAAATTACTCACATTGGAAAAACAATAACAGTGTATGTACATGTGCATTGTCGTGTGCTTGTATTTTGAAAGCATGTTTAGTTATAACGCTCATGCACATGCATTTTACCCATTTCCCTTAACATTAACTGGAGATTCAAATATGTGCAAGCGCCATCTCTAATTCTTGTTTTTCTTGTAAAATTGCACATTAAATTTTTTGATAACAGTTTAAATGTTCTTATCAGCCCCTATTTAATACATTACTAATAAATGTCTGCATGCGCCCAAGCCTTGATCACTGTGGTGTACTGTAAATCAATTTGTGATATTGTTGTTTACAAATTAGTAAATATCAGGCTTGATATGGAATGTATCTACATGGACTTGGGTAGTACAGATGTACTATGAGATGCAATGTTTGTATCAAGGAAATTTGTACCAACAATGAAATGATGAAATTTCTTAGTTTTTCTTAGGCAGAGGAAAGGTTGTGTTTTTATTTGTTATTCATATTACCATACATTTTATGCAAATTGGACTTGTACCCTTTTAATAGATTCATTTTTTTAACATGTTGACTTCCGCGCATAATTTCACAGGGCCTCCCCATTTGCCAAGTGTTGCACGCATGCTCATATTTAATATTTGCCTTTTAGTTGTCCATATGTTGTAGTACGTTCATTTCTAATCACTCTACGGAGAAAAAATATCAACAAGATAACTCGTAGTTGGCAATGGCACAGAGTTGATTATTCCACTTTGCCAGCTACAAGTTATCTTATCCCATCACCACTAGATAACTTGAGGTTGGGGATGGGATGACAAACTTCTTTGATTCTCCATACCAGTTATGCAATACATATTGCATTCTGTGAAAGTTGGACTGTCGTTGACATTGTTTTGTATGTTACGTGTATAGAGCCGTCCCTGCCATATTGATTATTTCCAAATGATGCGACCAAGTGCTGTCAGTAAAGAATACCATGTGCCCCAATGAATTGTACTAAATAAATTATCAATAAATCAGAACAGTCATATAAAACTACATGTATAAGAATAATTAGAAATCAGATTTATTGTAAGCTCAGAATTAGTCGTTCTTTAATTATCTGGCCGATCCTTGGTTTAATAAATCCAATTTCTTATTAATTAAGACCGTTGATGACGGTCTTGTTTGTGGTAGATTTGTGACCTTATCAATTGTCTCTGTGGTCCATCCTGGCAATTTCCAAGTAGTACTCCCATTCCCCAAGACACTTTGTCTGCAATATTACGACCTAAAGGTAAACCACAGGATCAGGAAGGTATAGCACCCAGCCTGCATCCCACTCTATATAACCACCCTCAGAATATTCCGCCATCAGCTTTCCCTCCATCTTTCTCCGGTCTTCCTCGCTGACATCGTCAGCACAACACTTCCGATGATAGTAGTCTGTGTTTCTGAATGAAACACTGTAGACCCTATTATTATTGTAACGGTGTCTTTTCTTCAACTTTGTCTGGCCACGCTAATAATTCCTTGTCAGATCTACACCTTACACTAACAAGAAATCAAAACAATGTGTTTACTTTGATGTTCTGAAAGCCATTGGGTTTTTGTAGACAGCTTCTGACAAATGTGTCTGAAAAAACACCATGTCATGTACCAGTTGTATAAAAAATGGAAAGAAAGTGGAAAAAAACTTGTTCACTTTTGTTCTTTACACATTATTTGGAGTGATTGATCATTGATTACTATTGATTGATCAAACTACTTTGAGGCGGAGCAAATTGATAAGTTGGTTTAATTTTTTCACTTTACTTGGCACTTCCATTTTCTGAAAATGTTGTCAAAGGCAAGGCAAGTTGCCCTCCTGCCCCCCCAGCTGGATACACCAATGAGATCAAACCTTTAGGAAAAGCCACAAGTGCAAAGCAATCTTGGCATTATAATGTCTTCTTTCATTCTTGATTAGAAAATAAAGTCAACCAGTTGATAGGACATTCAAATTTTGCCAATTTCATTTCTAACAGTCAAAACATGAAAAAACATGAGTTGAACATGACCTTTTTGATGATGTCATGGTGTCCTCACCACTGCTAGCAGTGTATTTGTGGTGTTATCAGTGATGCCAGCGTATTCAATTTACAGTGCAAAAACCTTTATTTTCAATGAATATACTCATAATTGCAGAATCCGGTATACCTGTTACTATGGGTTTACTTAAAGTCGGAAGTCAACTTGTTAATTAGAAAAATAAAATCATATCATGAAACAGAAAAGCAAATGTCTTTTAGACCATTGATGTGAATATACCGGAGCTGTAAAAAGTGTCTGTTTATATACAACATTTTTCTTAATCTTAAGTGCATATTGCAGTCTTAAAATACGTGAGGAAAGTGATATGAATTCAACAAATTTCTTGCAAGAATTTGCTGTCATAATTTGATCTTGCTCGACAGGCCATACGTTTAAGATGCAGTTTCTAGATGCATTTGTGTCTTACGGTAATTTGTTCTGAGGTAACAAAGGATTATTTGTAACAAGTTCCAGTTGGTTATGCTTCACAATATATTGAGGAGTACTTTCTGTTCCCAGTATGGAATTTATGAATTTTTCAATGCTTTAATTGTTTCCAAATGTCATTTGTATACAGGTCAGGAACGGTTTAGCAGTTTGACCAGGGTTTACTACAAAGATGCCTCAGCATGTGTGATTATGTTTGATCTGACTTCACCAAAGACGTTGAAGAGTGTTGTGAGATGGAAGAATGATGTGGATTCTAAGGTCTTCCTCCGAGATATGAGCCCTGTTCCTTGCCTTTTACTTGCTAATAAGGTAAGAGCTGAGAGAACACTGCATTCACAGGAAACAAGACATATGTATTATATTGTACAATGTCATTGGTTCAAACCAAGGTATTCAGTGCTTATAATGCTCTGGTATGGCTATTGATGGACCTCACATAATACAATTACATCCCAGGATTGTTAAGGTCTTCCTGGAAGGTTTGAAGTTTCTGTTTGACTCTCAAAATTTAAATAAAGTTAAAACAGTGAAGATCAGCAGCAGTTTGGAGTGGCTTTTACTTTTGCTCTTCTTGTTTTGTTTTCTTTGTTCTTTAGTTTATTAAGTGTAAGTAAAAGGAATATACTGTTTCTTGTATTATGGATGCTACTAGATATGTCATTCATGCCAGGGTTGAAATCATATTTCAGATGCATTGGCTTGTCTTTCTTTGATACATGTAATTGCAGTCAGATCGAGATGATCAACGAGTAACAGAAGAAGAAATTAAGCAAATGTCTCAGGATCACAACTTTGTGGGCTGGAGCAAGATCTCTGTCAAAGATAATGTCAATGTTGAAGCGCCCATGCTGTGAGTGTTTCTCTTTTCAATGATGTATTTCTTTGGTGAATTTTATTTTATCAGAAAAACTCGGTAACCGAACTCTGCTTAGCTTGAGTGTTTACAGAGAATATTTACCAATGTTTACATGGATATATGTCTATTGTGTTACCTCCATCTTTGTGCATGTGGGCTGAAATATGAAATCACAGCCATGCTTGTTTGTTGTACTCTGGGGAGAAATGTGAGCACAGTCTGATTTTGATGGGTGTCTTTGCAGAAATTGTGACCAAGCGAATTTCCCCACTTAGCAAAAGCCAGCTTATTTCTAAGTAGATTTTCCCATATTTTTTTGTGAAGTTAGTCTGTTTGGCCCAGAACGTGTTCAGGAAAGTGATGGAAGTTGAATGGAAATTTGTCTTCAGTTGAATTTTTCAGATTTTACTTTCTCTGTCTGTACAGTCATGTCTAGAGCTTTGAAACAGATTCCACAAGCTTGCTTGGATGGGCTTGGACTCACAGACCTGCTGCCTACTAGCGCAGACAATGTACACTGATCCATTCATGTCTGCTGGGCTTAGCTGTCTGATCCAAATTTAATGTGTTAGGAATCAGTGTCTATCTAGTGGGAGTATATCTATTTGTTGCCTTACATTCACCTTTTTATCTCTACGCTATATTGCATTTTTCCTCTCGAGATGAGCCAGTTTGGTATTCCCACAGCTCATGCCCAAAATGAAGCATGTGGTCTGTCCTATCAGCGCCACCGGATGATATGGACTCACCGCATGGTTTGTTCTGGACAGACCTTGTATTTTTGAAATATCCAACTGGCTCATTCAAGTTGTTTTGCAGTGTTTCATTTCAAGTTTATGTCTTTGTCTTGCGTCCTATCCATCCAGCTTTCTTGTGGAGGAGATACTTGCAAGGCACCAGTCTAAAGGTCGGGGGTCAATTGTTACAGAGTTCACAGATAACGACGGAAGGATAAAACTTCCACACAGCTACGACAAGCAAAGCAAGTGCTGCTGGCTTTTATAGCCGTGTAATCAGTTTGGAATTCTTGTCAGGTTACTTTTCTTCTTTCTTCATGTACTTTATTTTAGTATTCAAGGGATTTTTAATAAAAAAGGCTTCCTCTGAAAGCAATGGAGGAATGGCATTATCAAATATGTTGCAGGAAAACTAGATAAAGTATGAACATTTTTATTACTTAGGTGGTTGTTGGTACCAGGCTTCCAGCTCACAAATTTAAAACAGAAGCCAAAAATTTTAGCTAAATGCACATTTTGCAGCCACTTAATAATTTATGCAGTGCTGAATACAATATATTTCCTGCTAATTGTTCAGGATGATAGCCAAAGTTTGTAAATACTTGCTATTTGGACTGGCATTGTGAAATGGGATCCTGCAGTACCTACAGTTAAACCGATTATACTCAACTTTATTATTGGATGTATATATGTGCTCTGACTTGTTTCGATCCTTTAATAGCCACTTCCTGTCATATTGTGAGGCATTCTAGACTTCATAGCCTAGCCACTGTTACATTGTAGGAGGCTTATAGGCTATAGTATAAAGTAAATCAGCAAGAAGAATCAGAAGCCATGATACCATGGCACAATGCTTGTAGACAGGTGGTTACATTCCTCTTGGACTAATTAGGTGTTGAGATTTGCCTACATGTATGGCCCCTTAAGTTCAAGAATGTGGCTGTGAATGTGATATCACCAAGGTAAAGGTATGTCTAATTGATCCTAGAATGTCTTTACTGCTCAGTTGTGTGTGACAGGATTAACGAAACCTTTCCCTGAAGGTGCTCTAAGTTCTGGGGTTGATCTAAATGTATTAAATTGGGGCAGAGATTGTCTACGAGGAAATCTTTAATGTGCATTTATTTAGAGATATTGTGGTTGAAATGTTTTAGTTAAATGTGTATCCTATCATTGTAAAATACACAGGGCCCCTGCAGCCTGGAAAAGTCAAGAAAAGTCAGGGAATTTTGTAAAAATGACTAAAGTCATGGAAAAGTCATGGCATTTGATTGTCCTTTAGGTGCAGGAACCCTGATACAAAACAGAAAATATAGGAAAAATCTGTTACATGTACACAAATACACAAAAATGTCTTGACGTGTGTTGTCTTGCCTGTTAGTAACCAGGAAAACAGTTGCCCAAGCTTCTTTTTCACATTAGTTTCATAGCGCACAGCCCAAACTACCAGTCTTTGGAGTTACTTAAACACAACCTTGAAATATAAGCAGGTTGAAAAGTATTACAGTCAGTCCACAAATTGTGCAAACATTCAGTATGGAATGGAACAGTGTTACATCAGTCCTCATGAATTCCCCATGAAAGTCACTGATGTGTCATGTGTCGTCAACATGTACTGTTGTGAAAATATTTTTATTAGGTTTGAACAATGTTTCTGGTGTAGACTGAAGACACATTTAAGTATCTGTAAATAGGCTATGTGCCTTAATTTAGTCATAAGTTTCTTGAGCTAGAGAAATGTTTCTGAATTGACAGAGAGGACACCAGTGCAAGTCTGCTGGTGGTCATCTTCCCTGTGGGTTTTTGTACGTACCTTTTTTGCCATAATACTTACACAACATAGTAAAAGCACAAATATAATCAGCATTACATTCCAAACTAAGGAGCATAACTCTAGGGTTTTTGTTGAATCCGTTTTGATATGTGCCTCTTGATAGGTTGAAGATTTGGAGTTGAGTTCCAAGTCTACACCAACTGAAATATCAAGCCTCATCAAGGCTGTTTTGACTGCTGGTATTTTGGATGTGGAGGAGTTAGTTGATGCCAAAAGCAGTGGTAGAAATGTGTAAATATTGGTTGCAGAAGAACTGAGATCCAGACTTATTCTTGCTCACTTGGAGAATTTCTTTTTGTCTAAAAACTGATATTGTCAGCCTTGACACAGAAAGGCTGTGTTGTCATGAAGGCCGAATTTTTCAGTGTATTTGTGAAATTATTTTCCCTTCCAAATCAGACAAGGTGAGGCTCACTACCAAATTGGAACTGTTTTAAACATGCGGTGCAAAACTTAAACGGTAAAGCAATTCAAGTATTATTATTTTGTTGTATATATTTGATTCAAAATAAGTTTTGAATAGCTGGTTTAAATTTGAATGTTGTTTTGTGTAATCATGATTTATATAATCAGTAGTTTTGTTGCAATAACTAGAAATGTGAACAAGGTAAGCTCAACGAAAATTATGTTGCAATTGGAAATAAACCATTTAATTGAAATCTATAGTGACTGGATGATGGTTTTGAGGATCTTTATTTTGGACGTATCCAGACTCTGCTCAAGATAGGATGTGGCCTGAGGCTATACTGCCATTGGATGGCAGCTACTGAAGAAATCCTGTGCTGTTTGCCTTGGCAGTGTTCAGGTGTCCGCTTTAGTGAGCATTTTAACCATTTTGTTTCAAGTGCCATGAGATTGTGCAGCTTTAGTTATAGCACAAGCCAAGGTGATCGGACAAATTGATATTTAATATTAATTATTATATTATTTCTACCCATTGTAAGGATTCAACAATGGTAACATGTTCACTTGCAGGAAAAAGACTGCAAGGTGGTATAGCTTCTGATGTTAGTATCGAGGTTAAATTATTTTCTTTTCTTTGAAAGGTTCTCTTCGAAATGTTTAAAAATAACAGGTGCTTTTGTGCAAAAAAGGAACACTAACGACATGGGGGATATTTAAATATGAATGTTTGTGATTTAGTAATTTAGGGTTTTTAGTTTTTGCTATGGGAGAACTACTTGATAGTGATTTCGTTCATTTTTAGTAATCCTGCAGGGGCATGCAACTGTTTTGGTGTTTGGGTCTTAGTCTTTTTTTAAGGTTTTACTTTGTCTTCTTTATGTCTATACTGTATGTAATTTTTTTCTCTACTTATTTTGTTTTATCCGTTGTAAATTTGACCTGCGAAATAATAAATAAAATGAAATGAAGTGCGCCCTCTCCGCACGTAGGGTAGTCAAGTGCTGTGCGCTGTACGTGTGCATATGCAGCGTCCATAGTGATGACTATACACATGCGTTGCATACTTCCGTGCACATTTTTTGAGAGTTCGTCGATTGAAGATTTATCAACGAGAACATCATGAGGGCTGTTCCGACATGGGTCGACAAAGTGCATGACAGAGATAAAATCGAACAGTGGTAAGTTTGGTTTAATACATGCTGACAATCATACAGACTTATACTATAGATCAACTTGAAAAGAAAGAATTTATTTGTTTACAATGCAATAATTGTTCAGATAGTTGCCCACTTTCCGGACAGTAAAATTAAACATGTTAATTATGCAGTTGAATGAGTAATTTGAGGAGAGGTCATTTAAAATAAAGGGGACAGATAATTGAGTATAAAATATGGAACGATGTCGTGTTTCCTTAAAAGAAAACAGCAAATTTTCTGTTGATAGGCCTAGTGTTTTTTATTTTTTTTGCGTTGGTATGGTTGGTGACTTGTCTTCAGGTCTTCAAGTAGGCTAGGCCTAAAGCTATAGGCCTAGAGTTGAGAAAAAAAAGGAAAGAGTTCCATATAGGAGGACATGACTTGTGTATGATTTCCGGCCAGTGCGGTGAAAACGACCCAAGTTTAACACACTTTTGCCGTGCAAAGCAACGTAAAACGCATTTATTTTCACCTCGCACTTACCCGAGGTTATGCAAAGTTGCATCTGTGAATATGGACAACACTTGATGCTGCTGTGCACAAACCTGCAAGACTTGTATGAAAAAATCTAATTGATTTTTAGGAAAAGCTATAGGCCTATTTTACTTTGGACTTTGAGGACATGTTATCACTTTCTGATGGCTGTTAATGTTTGGCCTATAATATTTAAAAGGAATATTAGGGATCATGCTATTTAGGCCTATTTCCCCTAATTAATAACGGGCCCAGGCCAGGACCAAAAATTGTGAGAAGAATGTGTAAAAGGCTCAATATGGAGAGAAACTGCTTGGCACTAGTGCTTTCAAATGAAACAGAAACTGACCCAAGCTGCTACTAATGTTATGATCTGTGCTTACATGTCAGTTTATGTGTAATTCTAGTTTGTGGCTTCATGCTCACACAAGAATGATTTTATAAAATGGTTTTATTGCCTCTTCCATCAGCATTTATGATATTGCGTTCAGACCAGATGGATCACAACTGATTGTTGCTGCTGGCAACAGAGTACTGGTACGTGAACATTGACAGTTGTAAGATGAAGATTTATGAGATGCTTCAGACTCTTTTACCACCTTTTTATGCCTCTTCATAGACAGTTTAGGGACACATTGGTCAAAGTAATCAGCGACTACAGGTGTTGATCAGGTACAAATTAACTTGTCTTGTTGGGAAGCTATTTGAAAATGTTCTACACCTTGTCTCCCCACCTCATGTATCTATGACCCTGGCAGACCTAAAACATGGCAGAGGGATGTAGACCGATTTGTTGACACCATTACTGCCGTGTCCCCTTCATTCAGGCGCACATTCCTTAACTTGACACTTGCATGATTTTGGTTAGCAGTTGGCTGAGGATTTCAATGCGCATCTCATCTGTACATGTGCGTGGGGACACCGCAGTAATGGCTACTGATTCTTGTCACTGAATCAGTCTATTGGGGCTTTGAATCAGTTGATGATGAGCATTTAGATCTTTAGATCTCTCTTTGTGGTTGAGTCCATCACAAGTCCTTTCATAAGCCCTAGCCCTAGAAGAGCAGTCACAAGAAAGAGGGTAGGCAAGGACAAAGGAACGCTTTTGTCACCGTTCATTTCTGTAGCATGTGACTGGGAACTAGATGGCTTGTCAGGGTCATATGATGGACTTGTGGGGACTTGTGACGGGCTCGACTACAACACTGCTCTGTAATGAATTTTTTTGCAGTTTGATTTGTATGATACACAAATTTGTTCTGTTGATGATGCCATACCAGTTACTTTCAAAGCCACAGCAACCAGACTGCCTCTCATGAGTCTTTGCTTTTGATTTCCAGGTGTACGATGCTAACGATGGGGCGCTGATTCAACCCTTGAAGGGCCATAAAGACACAGTGTACTGTGTTGCTTATGCCAAGGATGGCAAACGATTCTCCTCAGGATCAGCTGACAAAAGCGTCATCATATGGACCTCCAAACTGGAAGGCATCCTCAAATACACGTAAGAATTTCTTTTGCACTGTTAAGCTTAATGACACTTTTGATGAACTGCCTAGAAATAGCCCCATCTGGTCAGTCCCACTTCATTTTTTTGTTGCATAATGGAATTTGCTTCTTGTTTCTCATCTATACAGTCATAACGATGCTATCCAGTGCTTGTCGTTCAACCCAATCACTCATCAGCTAGCAAGCTGTGCATGTAGTGACTTTGGTAAGTGAACCTGCAATGGAGCCATAGGGAGACTACAGGATTTCCCAAATTGAGTGATTCAAGCCTCAACAGCACCATATTGATTCCAGTACTTGTATTTACACCCAAAGTCTAGTGTGGAATGTAAAAACAAAACTTGTGGAAATTTGTGGTTGGGGATTTCAGCTTTCAATGTCCTAGCTACATGTAAATGCTTTTATTTGGCTTTTTTAGGCAGCGCTAAATACATTTTTTCCACCAGTCGCGTGGGATTAAAGCCAAAATTGTAAATATTTGCCATTTTGCAATATGGACCACTGACAAATGGAACCCCGTTGCAGTACTCTTGTTGCAGTAATTTTTGCCGGTATTTACCCCTCCCCCCCCAAGGTCTGTGGTCCATGGAACAGAAGTCCGTGTCCAAGCACAGGACAGGCAGTAGGATCACATGTTGTAGTTGGACTAATGATGGCCAGTACTTAGCCCTTGGCATGTACAATGGTTGCATCAGTATTCGTAGCAAGGTCGGTATATGTACACAGGACATTCTGAGGTCATGTGATTGGTAAAACAGCCTTACACCAAGATAACTTTATGAACAATATCTGAGCAGTACCAGAGACAACCTTTTTTTTAATGACCAATTCTTCGAGTTCTTTTAGTTGCACCGAAACCTAAGACATAAAACATCCAGCTCAACTTTCTAACCCAAGGACACAAATCTTCATACAACAATTCGGCCATACCCCACAAACTCAGTGCTCTCATCCCATCAGACATGCAGTAGCAAAAGCCCTGCTTGCAGTCAGTGCCGGTTAACTTTGACCAGATATCAATTGATCTTCCACTAAACTAACACAACTATCAAAGATTATATGTCTCTCTTTCTGGTTTAACAAGGAACCTTCTGGCTTCTTTCAAACACACCTCTCTGCATAAAATTAATGGCTCATTTGTTTGAATTTAAATTTTCCTGCGAAATGCTTGAAAATCTCAAGCAGACTATTGACGAAGTTGGCAAGTGTAGTGTAAATAATTGACTACAGTCATTGTGTAAAACTACTTATTACAAAGATCTCACTTTTTTAACGGTAGAATGGTGATGAGAAAGTCAAGATTGAGCGTCCTGGAGGAGGATTGAGTCCCATTTGGAGTATTCAGTGGAATCCATCCAGGTAAGACTCAAAAAATAACCAGTTGTAATCACTGCTTCTCCTGAAGGAAACTCTACCATTTATACCAAGGGGAAATTAAGTACTAAGGTGGCAAAGGAACTCTCCGTGTTGTATTGAACATTCAAGCTTTCAACCACTATTGTAATTGATCCTTTTGCAGATTTGGTCAAACATAAGTCAGAAAAATGTCCATATATGCAAGTACAGGGCTTCTGACTCTCACACACTGTGCATAAGAATCATGTATTTTAGTTTATTCTCACAATCTACTTGCCATTTCTCATGCTAAAGTAGTTAAAACTATAGTTAAAACTAAAACAACAAGTAAATGTAAAGCTTTCTAACTCCCGTCGTTCTGAATTCCTGGCTTGCAAGTTTTTTCTCTGGTGACAAAGCAGTTTGTTTGACTCTTTAGTGCATGTAGGACTGCACATCTTAGTGTCTGAAACTAATTTGTAGCATGACACCTATTCTTATTCTCCTTCAACTCTTACTCAATTGTCTACCCTATACATGGATGGTTATTAATCCAGGCAATTCCATGAACCA